GGTCAGAGGGTAGAGATCTTGTAGTGAGGGAATGGATTGAGGACTTAAATTGGAGAAGGTTGTAGGCGTAAGAAGGACTGGTAATGATTTCATAAAGAAAAGTGCCTAGGAGGAAAGCAGTAAGTAGACAGCAATGGAAATGGCTAGGGATAACTGGTCATCTGGTATTGCCAGTATGTACCTGAGTAGACTGAAAATGTGTTTTATTGCTAGAAGATTTAAGTAACATATAATTGAAAAATATAACCCTTATCCAGCATCAAAAGCATTATAGAAAATTGTTTAATTCTTCTTGCTAGAAGATTTAAGTAACATATAATTGATAAGTATAACCCTTATCCAGCATCAAAACCCTTATAGAAAATTGTTTAATTCTTCCTGAATTGTATTAATATTGGACATACTTAGATAATGTACAATTAGAGATAAAGTGTCACAATTAAAACAAAACTTAAGTTAATAAACTTCTTTCATTTATGATAAGGAAAGCGAAAAGCATTAATAATGCTGAATCTCGAAGCTAAAAAAACAAAAACGGGCAATATATAAACACTACAATTATAAATAATATTAGTAATATATAATGGTAAAAAAAAATTGATGTAGGTAATATGTGTAAATAATAACATCTGAAATATAAAGTTTGGTTAATGGATATATTGAAGATACAAAGAAATCGACAAGTTAAAAAAAATGGTGGGCACTATATATTGTAAAGGTTACAATTGGTAATTATTTGTAATGAACGTAAGGTGGAGGGGACAAGACAACCCCTCCGCAATAGTGGCGCTTTCTGGTGCTAGATTTCGTAAACGTTATCAGAACACGGGACATAATACCAGTTCAACCAAGATGGCGAGTGGAGGACCGTTCGTAAATAATTACCGAAAAAAATGATTAAAGTGCTTAGTGGTTTAATGTTATGGAATGCTATTTTTTTTTCTTCTCCCCTTTAAAGTATACAATCGTTTTCCATTGGGTCAGGGGCTGAGGGCGGGGGATTAGTATTAGAGTTGAATCCCTCCCCCTTCCGGCACCGGGACGCGAACTCATACTTATTGTATCAAATTATATCTTTAATCAGGTTAGCTTGGTCTGCCATCCCCTCTTTTATGAAATGCTACTTAACGATTATACTTAATAAATCAGCGATATGTTTGACCGAACCCTCAAATAAATATAGGTATATGTCAGCGATTTATAAATACTCCTGCTCAAAATTAACACAACGCTTCATTATTTCACAACATAATTCTATTTAATTAATCATGGGGTTTATTTTATTTTTAGCGAAACGTTTCAAACATAAATCAAACCGAAAAGTTTAAATTTATTTTTTAAAAATCCTGAAAAAGCGGTAAATAATATTTAAATTAAAATAAAATTTGTGGTTAGGGGTGGTTATTGCTGCTCCTACTGTTCTTGAAACTGAACATGTCTTGAAACTGGGTTCTCTGAGGAATCAATTAGGAGGATTTAAAAAAAAAAAAAAAATCTACTTCAAATGAATCTAGAAACAATAATTACCACTTTCAGGCAGTATTTGAATGTTTTTATTTGTAAAAAAACAAAATAATAAATAAAAATCAACAGAAAAGTTTGCTTATTTTTCTAAGGTTTTTATTCTTCTATCTATATACTAGAAACATTTGTTGAGCTTTAGCGAGTTCCTAAAGTATGCACTATAGATTCTTTTCTTACATTTGTTTATTTATTTAATTAATTCGATTACTGTAAAAACTCGGCGTCTACTGTAGACCGATTTAGTATACCCAAGGACATTGTGACAATACTCTGAGAAGTAAATATGAAACAAAAAAACAAGGGCCTTTGGCATCGACACAGTTGCTTACACGCGCCTTGATAGAAAATAGTTCTGGACTAGATACGGTCCGTCGGACCTTCCTTCAATATTTTATGTCTCGCGTTGTGGTTTTTCATCTGGTCGTTGGCTAGACGATAATTCTGGTCCGATCGATCTTATTAACTTACAAATATCAGCATCCAACGTTGTTCTTAGATGAAAATAAACTGCCGTCTTATTTATTAATGTTATTTTTCAGGTTACCATATCACGGAGCTATACTTACAATAAACGTATCAAGAATTTAATTTTGGGAGAATTAGGTTTTATTTATTTCCTATGTGTATTCCTTTTCCGAATCTTTATAACCAGAAAACCTTCATACCTTCTTGACTTGTTCACTCCTTGTTTATCTTTCCATTCTTTTAACACGAGATCCCAGCCCAAAAACCTGTATATTCCCTCTCATACATTTATTTTGAAAAACTTTTATAATGCGTGCTTCCTTGTTTTGGAATTCCTTACCCACCATCATACGCAAAACCTCATCATTGTCCAATTGTTTCTCCATCTCCTCAGCCATGAGTTTTCCGAATATTTATAAGAATTAAATATGTTAACAATTTGATTGTACTATTAATTCAAAAATATTATTTTAGAATTGAGAAACTTAACTATCCTCAACGATAACTTCCATACCTATATCTGCCCAAGGACTGGTAAATTGTCAAACATTGCTTTATCAATTGCATCTCCATTCATATCCCAAGATTGGAATGGTGCACTGTCGAGGATAGTATCGACCATTTCCCAGCTCAATTAATTTTATTGATAGGATCCCTAGGAAAATACACCACAGTCATTGGTTCATTAAGCATGCTGATTAGGAGTTATTCCAAAATACAACAGTCTAAGTTCATACCAAACCGTCAGGTTTTCCATCTTAATTAATAATTTAATTAAGAATATCTACTTAATAGAGACTTGGGGTGCCCCAGGAAGGTCTCCTGATCTCATTGTCAATCCACGGCTGATCTAACAAAAAATAATTAATTAATTACAATCAGTCGGATCCGTACCCAGGAACTTGAGCATAGGAAGTCAGTGCTTTACCATTGAGCTACCGTATTCTAAATAAAAATAATATTAAATAATAATATTTAGAAAGATTTAATTATTATTTTTTTTTTATTAATGTACTATTATTACAATGATTTTTTTTTTCACTGACCAGGGTATTGATTTTTGTTGGAGTTTCAACTACTTAAACTTCGGAAATACGTTTTGTGAGAGAGAGGAGTTCTCGCACCTTTCCATAGTACCTATACACTGCCAATCCCAGCTAGTGATTTGTTTAATTGCATCTCAACCCAAGCCAAAACGATTGGCAACTAAAGACTAACAATTAAAAGCCGTATTAGACAAGTTGGGAGCTCACACAATGGCTGCGGGCAACTTGTTGATTACAGGCTGTAATGGGATATCCACACGTGCCAGTTGGCGCCATGTCTCTCACTCCATTTTCATTTCCCGCGCTGTCTTCGCTGAGTTCACTGTCTTTCAGCGTACTATTTTTGTTGTTTCCGCATTATTCATAATTATTTAATTGCATTTATATTACAAACTTAATTAAATATCAATAGAACGATAATTTGAAATATATTTTAAAACTTTGTTGCCTTTAATTACTACAAGATTAATTAATGAAAAGTCTCGCTATATAAGTCTGATATAAAAAAAAAAATCTTGTTTGAGCACTCAAACGTTTTTCAGACAGACCACTGCATATTCGTTCATTAAAAAAATAAAGAAAGAAAAAAAGGTGTACTGAAATTTACTAAATAGAAAGATGTTTATAGAACTACAACTAGTGTTGTCCAAATGCGAGACCAAGACGAGTCTTGGTCTTGTTATGAGTCTAGCAACGGTCTTTCAGTTACCTGTTAGCCTATTACTATTGAGATATTACTATATTTTTTTAGGTAGGGGAAACCTAGCTATGGCGGAATGAAAAATTGGAAGAGTTAAATGCAAAAGTGTATTGGTTATACCAATTCTTTACTTATAGTAACTAAAATTGTCAAATATTAGTAACTATTTTGCCTTAATTTTATTCAAAAAACGATATTTTTTTTTACCGGTCTTCCAACAGTCTTGCAAAGTGTAAGACTAAGACCGATTTTGGGCAACACTAACTACAGCATAGGGATGATCGTTTGTTTTTTAAAATTATTTTTATCATATTTATTTCTCAAAGATGTCTCTGCTTTCATTATTATAATCTCCTGTTTTTAATCTCCAGGGCCTAAAGTTATTTAATAATTCTGTGAATATTAGTAATGAAAGTGAATGAAATAATAAAATAATGAAATGGAAGTTGAAGAATGAGTTGATAAAAAAGTTTAAGTATATATATAAATGAACTGGTGCCGGAGAGCCGATTATTATTTACCTCATTTATCTTTGACATTTAACACATCTCAACATTGCGGTCACCATGTTTGCTGATTGTAGCTATAAACAACTTCTTACCTGGAACAAATGAGTAAAAAATCACAAAGGTTCAAACAATTTTGCAACATCAAAAAAACAGGAGAGTGGCTTCCTCGGGAAAGCACTGGAATCCAGATATCCATATATTTAATATGTGATAATTTCAGATAAATTTTAATAAAATTTCACTTAATAAATAATTTATTTTAAAAAAAGGCTTTAAAACAGTGGCTTGAAAACAGTCATTTCATATTATTGTAAAATAAAGAATTCGGTCCCTTGTGCATTCTTAAGGAATTTTCTTAATTAAAATACTATACAAAAATAAATAAATGGGGTATTCCGAGATCTTTTAACCTTGCGGTGTAAAAAGGGCACTCTTCCAAAACATGGTTTATAGTTAATGACTGGTCACACTTTTACATCTGGGGATAAGATCTTTTGTTATGAGGTAGAGGTGTGTCTAGTATGTCCGATCCTCAGCCACGTGAGGATGACTTCTTCTCTACGACTGCTGCGTTTGGAGCTGATCCACGGTTGCACCTCTTTCTTTATTGTTTTTAGTTTATAACTTCGGGTTATTTGGTCCTATTGTAATTTTCTGTTTCCTAAACATGAAGTTATTCTATGTTTTATTTTATAAAAATTTATTATACTTATACTTCTGTACATTATATGATGCCTTGATTATTATATTTTACAGAAGACTGTGATGAAGGAGAGAAATGTTTCTTTATCTTCTGGTCTGCCTAGCAGCGGCGATGTCTTGCGGGTCCCAGGCTCCGGACGCCAAGTGCCCAATGCCAGGTATTTTACAAATTATCAAGGCATATATGAGGCGCCTACTAACAAAAAGAGATAGATCCAAATTTTAAAATCTTACACAAAAAAAAAAAAGAAATAAAATATATAAATAGAAATTATTTATCAAAGTATGATATACCTTTGATATCAGTACAATATACCTTCTCCGTATCTTTTAGTGTAAATTAAAGTTTTAGTTAATATTTATTTTAGTCTTATAATGAAGCTTTTAAAAACGGGTGTAGGGCAACAATTAAATTTGATATCACTTTTTGTCAGTTAACACCTCATATATATTCTATTATTTTACATAATTATTTAGTAAAGTTTATGCTTTATATACACTCAGCTTCATTATTTTCTTCGTTTTTCATAGAACTGTTTGTCATCTCAGTCAGTAAAAAAATAATTATGGGGAACAACTTAAAAATTTTATCAATGGGATTCATCTTGATGTACTGATTACTGATGGGAAGGAAGTAGTCTGGATGCGGGACACATGGTCCTTTTTGCCAACCCATGACGGCTACTACCATAGTAGGGATATCAAGATTCTTTTCTCAGGGCCGCCGACAAATGAAAATTAACCGACCCAGGTAGGAATCGAACCCGCAACGTCCAGAACTCAGCATTGTGGGACCCACGCCCCAAAGTGCTCGTCCTTCCCGTCTTCACTTATTGTTAGATATAGCTAATAACTACTGAAATAAATGTAAATAAAAAGAGAGTATATTTCTTTATCGCATAAAATAATGTTATTCCTTTCATAAGATATACTTCGGACATTCGTTAACTGATAGCGGATGACATATATAGATATGTAAAAAATTAATAATTAAAAAGATATACTTTTTTCATTAAAAAAAAAACACTCTTATTCCATATAACTATTGCCGATTAAAATTAAACTATACTCGATCCAAAATCATACCTAATTATGTAGAGGAAATGTTATTATTGATGGTTTAAGCTTAGCAATCTACATGTTTAACAGTTCAAACAATTCACTTGTAATGTTGCCATTTTATGGATTATAGATTATCTTTGTTGTTGTTTATTCGTGGTTCAAAGTGCTCATCTACTCCAATTAGGTCAAGAACGACGGGATCATATTTACATAGTGGTTTATAGATTAGTGAGAATAGATAGGTACTTAAGACCTAAGCAGTTGAGTGTCTATAAACAATTTAATCTAACTTAGACTCGGATCAACCCATTTGAAATATGTTTTTTCTTGGCGGCCATTTTGAATTTTATTTTGAAAACATATTTTGTGAAAATTCTGTAACTCTTAATTATTCCAGTTTTTATTTTGGTTCAATATCTTCAAAATTACCAGAGTATCTTGCCTAAATTTCTGTTTATCGATACATCACCTAAACTGAAAAGAGAGTGGCTTAAAAAAATCATGAAAATTGACAAAAAATGAAACTTTTAGCGCTTTAAAAGCGTGTTAATGAAAAGAGATTCACCTTTGATTTTTTTTTTTTATAGTTCTACCACTGTGCTACATATTGATGAAATTTCAATCTTGAAAATCTTGTCTTTTTTTTTTTAATTTGAATTTTCAAAAACGTCCAAAATTCATTTTCGGCAATTTTTGATGTTGAATATCACAAGGGACTGAGTGAAAAATTATGAAATTGATACAGTTTATACCTATTTATAATACAAACGTGTGTTATGAATTGAGACAACTGGTTAGCTAATAGAACAAGTTGAGTCTCAATGATATTGTTGCCAAATATTGTTGTCAAGTGAGACACGGTATCAGTATATCCTGATAAAATATAATATTATGGCACGTTGATTGATTATTATGGTACGTTGATTGACCCCAATGAAGGTTTTTAATGTCCAGATATTTTGACTTAATCGACTTTGACTTAATAATCGACTTTGATGCTCAATGGTGGTGGGAATGGTAGGTAGGGGGAATGACTAGAGTAATTCTAATCGGAAGGATTGAGTTTAGGTAGATGGTAATTTTTGTCGTTTGGCTCCAAGAAATATGGGCTTTCTTGATGGTGTTAAAGTATCATTCTGTGGTTTGGTTCTTGTTTTGATTTTTCTTCAATCCAGCCATATTCCTGATGATGGTCAATTGAAACATAAAGCGATAACATTTTAAACAATTTTTTTACCATTTCGAAATCAATTATGAATTTCATAAAAAAATTGTTAATTTATAAATGTGTGACGAATGTAAGTTTTGGTGTTGCGCTTTAAAAAGTACTTGTCAGATGATGAATTGCTAAGTGGAAATTATAAGAAGCATCTTTATATATTATTTCTCCAAGGTATTTTAAGAAATATTTTCGTAAATATTACATCAAATAGAATTATTGAGATGTCATTTTGAAGAGTATCTTCTCGTTTAGTGCCGAAAAATAAGCATATAGTCCAAAAAAGTTATGAATAAAATAAAATTTTATTTGCATATAACTCAAATAGGATACCTATTATGGTCACACTTGTCATAGTTTGAAAGTTTTCTAAATTCTCTACAAAATGTATAGACTGTAACAACTAATCGGTTTTAACGGTTAGGTACATCCTCGAGAAAAAGCAGGAATTATTTCTGGTGTGTCCACATACACGAACTTCCAAGTGTTTGAGTGAAAATTGTGATACAATAGTTTATACTATTTTCCCTCTAATGTAGGGTCGATTTTTTTTTTAAAGAGATTTCTAGACAATTTAATTATCCTTATAATCAGCAACTGTAAGCCTCCAAATGTATAGTTTAGGTTATTTGAAAAACTAATAAAAAGCGAAATGGTTTCTAATATATGGTAATATGGTAAACAGCTCAACAACCCACCTTGTATTTATATAGCAATATTATTTCTCAAACTTTTTTTTTTTTTGGTACACTATGTCTTCTTTAATACTTCCTCAAATAATTGATTGAACCACAATTTCTGCGCATGTTTTGATTTATTATTTTTAAGAGTGAACCATTGTGATCAACCAAGGAAAAAATGAATTTATAATATATATATTTATTTCAGTTTTATATTACCATTTGTTTAACTATGTTCGCAGGCCAAATAATTGATTAATATATTGAGGTTTATTAAGTAGGTTTCTAAAAACGTTTTGAAATTGTTTTAACCAATTTGACTGGCAGACGGGATGTTTCGAGCTGAAGTACTTCCCTTTTCCTAAAATGGAGAAATAATTTTTTTTTATCATTGGCCATATTTGTTATCTATGATAAATACTTGAACGATCACGATATGTTTACAAAAAAATATTTAAAAATTACCTCTGAAAGTATTATCATTGTGAATTGATGGCTGATTATACTGAAAAGTCTAAGAAAAGATTGGTGGGAGTGTTCAGCCAAAAAAAAATGTGAAATTAAATAAGTTATATTTATTTTTATTTTTTTTTCTGACGTTTCGGCCTAAAGTTCAGGTCTTCATCAGGGGCCAGTCTCTGAGCCAGTCTATCAACTGCCTCCTGCAGTGCCACATGCCAGGCCCTGATGAAGACCTGCAAGGTGGGTCGAAACGTCCGCGTAATAATTAAAAGTACTATTTTTTAACAATTTAGTATTTATTTGACCGTACCCCCAACCAGCTCCTTCTCATTATGTCATGGTCAACCACCAATCTCTACATGATAAATGTATCATCGTTAAATAGGGTTTCAAGAATCACTTAAATAACATTTAAAATAGGTATTATGTTTCTTTCTTTTTCTTCCAAAATAGATATTGCTATACATGTATAAAATAAATAACTTTCGAGACGAAGCCCCCACTCTCTCCAAAATTAAAGTCTGGAGCCACTACTTACCATTCCTGAAGTAAATGTGTGCTGCTTAGGTTTTATTTTAGTCCTGGAACTCAGACTATTCAATACAAGTAATGCTGTTACTTGTGAAAACTTCGATGCTACTATAACATAACTACAACAACTTGCTCCTTTCCTTCAACCAGTGATAAAGTTTCATTTAATTTGCCGCTACCCCAGAATATAACTAAGAGACACACCCATACTGGTTCTAGACATACACCACCCACCGGTCGCCTGTCCACTTGAACGATATTATTGTGAATGTTATGGAGGATGGGACACGTATATTGGATAACTTTCTCATCCATATTGGCTGACCAACACTCCTCAAGTTTTGTTGACGCACGTGCTCGTTAACAAGGTTGTACACTTTACTGAACGTTTATTATCTTTTCTCAGATTTACGAGTGCTTTTGAAATAATCATAAGAAAAAACTATTGTTTTTTAATACAATTCACCTGTCATAGGTGATTTATTTCTTACTATCAGAATCGAAATTTTATTCGGAATAACATTTTGAATATATAACGGAGAATAACTTCAGCTAATTTTGTCTTATAATTTTAGACCAGTGATCGAATTTTAAAGGGCTATAATAATACCCAAGCTCTGTAAGTAAAAATATTATATATTGTACATTTCAGTAGTGAAATGTAATCATTAAATCAGAGACAATGCAGAAATGGCGCATAGTTTTATAAAAATAATAATATATAAGGATAAAAATACAAATTAAAAGAAATTGAAGCGGGGGATATGATAAAAAAATAATATAATTTACAATTATATTCAAATGTTTACTTCTAAAGTAGCATTAAATAATTTATCGCCATAGAGCTGGCTAAGCACGAAAACCCAGAAAAAGTAGCTTTCATAAAATAAAAGTTTCGTCAGTATTTTTATTATATTTTCATAAATAACTTTGTAATTGTAATCCTCTCTTTGCTGTTGAATAAAAATATACTTTTATGAACCATTTGGGGAAGTGTCTTCTCTAATAACAAAAAAATACAAGCCAGCCAGAAATGTTTTTTGTAACGATTATTTCTAATCTTATCTGTTAATTGTCAACGTTCTTTTAATTTATCACAAGTAGATTCAGCGGATAATTTAATTTTACATTCATGCATATCTGTTTCTCGGTTAATAGTAAGTAAAATATTGTAAATGTATGTGTTGAAGTATGCTTGTAAATGTGTATTTAATTATATATAAAAAATTAATGTCTTCGTTATTGATAAAAAATATGAAA